CCCCCCCCCCCCCCCCCCCCCCCCCCCCGTCCCTGCCCCAGGCCTGGTTTCAGACTGGAGCAGGGCAAGGCATGGGGGTGCTTCCTGCCTCCTGTCTGGCCTTCCAGCAGTAGGGTAGGAGACGGTCACCCAGCTGGGACTGTGGGAAGGGGGTCGGTCCATCTGTCTTTGCCCGAATGACCTTGGTGGTCTCACGGACTTGGATCATATCTATCGTGACACATTTCCCACGTGAAAATGCTCAGGAGACCACGCTGACCAGGCGTCTCCCGGGGAGCACCAGTGTTGGTATTCAAGCCCTTCCCAGCCACCCCTCCTCTCCTTGGCTTTATCTCAGCAATCACGCTGTGACGCTGTAGCCTGAGCAAGTGGGGCCGCCCCTGACCCCCCCGGCAGTCTGATCCCTTCCACCTCCTGACCCTGGGCCCTGGAGCCATTGTCTCCTCAGGCTGTCCTGGACCCACTTTCCAGGTAGCTAGCCTTTGGCAGTGGTCACCCTCCCTCTGTCCGTCTGTCTGTGACTCCTCTGCTGGCTGGTGCCGCCACCGCCTTTCCTGCCCCGGGGCTGGGACTGGGACACCACACTGAAACCCTGTCCGCCTGGCCTGAGGTGGAGTCTTTGAGGGCATCTCCCTGCCCCCTAGGACTCCTGCTCTTCCCTTTTGTGTGGGGGCTTGAGCTGCTGAGTGGGGAGCACGTCTTTAGCCGTACCTTAGCTGAACCCCACCAGCTCTATTTCCTCCCCTCGTGGGCTCTGAGGTCCACCCACATTTACAGACATTCTGTTTGGGGGGCAAGCCCCCAGAACAGTTAGACCCATCAAGCCACCCCTACCCCTGTGTGGATCTCCTGCGAGAAGCCTGGCGAAGGTGGGACAGCACGCTGCACCGGGGTAGGCCTCATGGTAAGGGCTGGCCTAGGGTGTGCAGGGCTGCAGGGCTTCCTGGGACCCAGGCAGGCACCCCACTTTCCACCCTCTGCAGCACCTGTCAGCCCCTCCTAGGCTATTCGACCCTGCAGGGGCCCATGCCGTAGCTGGGGCTCTTAAAGCTGCCCCGGTCCTCCCTCCCCGCTGTGTGAACGGCTGCCGGCTGCCGAGCGCTCTGGGCCCACGTGGGGCTGTGAAGGTGGGGCACAGTCACCACAGACCTTGCCACCAGGCACCCCCTGGGGTATTGGGGAGTCAGGAGAGAGCAGGGCGAGAAAAAGGAAAATGGGACGGAAGATCCTGGCTCCTGACACAAGCCTCCAGCAGGCAGTGCAGCCAGCTATGGGCTATGGGGGGCGCCTTGCTAGGCAGGAGGGTAGGGGAGGTCATTGAGAGCCCTGCAGGGGCACCGGGGGGGGGTGGTGGTGGTGAGATGCAAGTGAGAACTGGAACCTTCCACCCAGGGTTGCTCTGCTCTTTCTGGGTCAGGAGGCATGGGCACGGGCAGGAGACTGCATCACCTGGGGTCCCTGTGTCCCGCCTGGGGGTTGCCCACTGGCATCACCTTTGAGAAGGCCCTGGGACTGACCAAATGACATCACAAGTGCAGTTTCTCTGTGGGGCCCTTCCGCCTGGCTTCAGGCCACTGTCCCTCTTATGGCAGCTCAGTGCTGGGCCCTCTCTCTTTTTATTTTTCTTTCTGGAAAATGAAATGACCTCCTTAGGCTTGCTGGCTTCCCAGTCCCTTCTTACTCAAATGAGCCATGTCGGAGCCCTTGTCCCTCCATGGGTCCCTCCATGGGGAAGCCACTCTGCTAAACTGTTGCCGAGGTGTGTGTGGAAGATGAGGCTTCATGGTCCTGCTCCTAGCAGCTCAGTGCGTTTTTATTTTATTTTTTTGCCAGAAGGTGCATGCACTTAACAGAGAGAGGGAGAAAGCATGCCCTTGGTGTGTGTGGGGGATCATGCCAAAATCCTTTGTCCTCCATTTCTCCATCCCATGGGGGTTTAGGGCACGTATGCACATGTGTCCAGCACGTTTTTCAGGCTTCCGGGACTGGGATTTAAACCACCGCCCAGGATCTGGTTCCCCTAACCACTAGACCACGGGGCTAGCCCAACTCAGGTCTATTTTTTTTTTTCTTTTTTTTGGAGAGGTTTTTGCTATAGGGTGCGTGCACTCGCCAGACAGACAGAGAGAGACAGAGAGACAGAAAGTGAGAAATCACCCCCCAGGAGGGATGGCCACGCCACAA